GCACTTTTGTTGGCAGGGTGATGTCTCTGGTTTTTAGTATGCTGTCTAGATTTGCCATAGCTTTCTTCCCCAGGAGCAAGTGTCTTTTAATTTCTTGGCTACAGTCCCCGTCTACGGTGATCCTGGAGCCCAGGAAAATAAAATCTGTCACTACCTCCATTTCTTCCCCATCTATTTGCCAGGAAGTGAGAGGACTAGATGCCATGGTCTTAGTTTTCTTAATGTTGAGTTTCAAGCCAACTTTTGCGCTCTCCTCCTTCACCCGCATCAAGAGGCTCTTTAGTTCCTCTTCACTTTCTACCATGAGAGTGGTATCATCTGCATATCTGAGGTTGTTATTTCTCCCAGCAATCTTAATGCCAACTGGTGATTCATCTAGCCCCGCCTTTCTCATGATGTGCTCTGCATATAAGTTAAATAGGCAGGGCGACAGTACACAGCCTTGCTGAACTCCTTTCTCAATTTTGAACCAATCAGTAGTTCCATGTCCAGTTCTCACTGTTGCTTCTTGATCCGCATATAGGTTTCTCAAGAGACAAATAAGATGGTCAGGTACTCCCATCTCTTTAAGAACTTGCCACAATTTGTTGTGATCCACACAATCAAAGGCTTTAGCATAGTCAATGAAGCAGAAGTAGATGTTTTTCTGGAACTCCCTAGCTTTCTCCATGATCCAGCATATGTTGGCAATTTGATCTCTAGTTCCTTTCCCTCTTCTAAATCCTGTCTGTACTTCTGGGTAGTAAAAAATTAATATAAGACCCAGTATTATTTTCGGGGAAACACAGTAAGTTCTTCAGGCAAGCCAGTTTATATGGGAACAGGTGATATCTTGCTTGAGTGAGGCAATTTGTGTTGGCCTACAATATCCATGAGCATTCAAACACTGGCTATGCTGGCTAGGATTGACGGGAAATGTAGACCAAAAAATTTGAAGATCCACAACTTTCCTGCCTCTGATTTAAAGGTCAAAACCTGTAGCTTTAATTTAGCCTACAAACAAACTGGTAGCTATTGAAATTTGTTAAGTGGAACTCCCTTGCAGATCACCACTTCACAATTCTCTTGAAACCATGAAACAGGCACAGAAGAGAGAGGCCCTACCCTGCCCCTCACTAATCTCAAGCAGTCATCCTGTTACCACAACTGAGTCACTGCCATATAAAGTTGATGTGAATGAAACACCCTCATATATATTTCAGAAGCAAGAACACTAGCCTTCTCCAAGAGCAGACATACATATATTAGTCTAGTTCTAGCTGAGGTGAAAAACATCTTTGGAGTTCCTACCACATCAGATGCCTGGCTGGGTTTTAAATAATTAACTGTTCCTCTCTACAAGCAGGGGGTGTTCGTATACGTATGGAGGAATATCTGAATCTATCTGTGGTCTGAACAGAGACAGCCCAGAGAGACATTGATTTTCCTTAGCGAAAATAAGACTTAAAAGACCCTTTATTCCTCTCTCTCCAAGAACAAAACAGAAGGATTTATACCTACTTTTCCAACAGCAATAGCTTATTCCAAGTGCAAATCACTTCAGTCTTCTCGTTTGGCATCACAGATATAAGTGACTAGGTCAGGCTCAGTCAGAGCTCTTTTTCAAGACACAGTCCTGGAAGAGGGCCATTCAAAGACCACAGCTGCCCCAAACCAATCAGCCTTATGTCATGTATCGATGAGCTTGACAGGGCCTGTATGTTAGCTATGTCAGGTTCTGGTAGCAAGTGGCAATATTCAACAGCTGACAAAGGCCAAAGGAAGGTGTTACCATAGTTTGCTAATCTATCTCAGACAGTCTACCAGAAATGGCCAGGTCATGCTATACCTCTAAAATATCTAAATAAGTGATAATAGTTGTAGAAATGAAGATATATGACAGTTTACTGGGAGTGACTGAGAATAGAAGGAAAAGTAGTTGCAGGAAACCCGGTGCAACAGGTTATGCACATGCATGAGATAAGGGCCTACAAAAAGCCATTTGCCCAGCATTCATAAGAACCTGGATATGGCCTCCTAGACAATGCAAACAATACAAACATGCAAGAAAGTATGCAGGGATCCTAACTCTGAAAATGGTACTCCATGCGCTACTGCAGAACCACCCACACTATCTTTTTCTCTCACTCCAAGAGAAAGAGCAGTAAATTATTCTGGAGTTATTCAGTAATAATTTAGAGCCAGAAAAAAGGACTGGGAGATGGGGAAAGCTGCCAGCACGAATTCAGTATTTGCTAAACAAAACTAGCCATTCACCAAAGACAATACCTCTGATTTTTTGTCTTCCTAAGAGTTAACAAAGAAACAAAAATGTTTCAACAAGCCTTCCTTGAGTAGTTGGGTTCCTATATGCTAGAGGAGGAAGATTGAAAACAGCTCAGGGAAAGCAAAATATACTCATACCTATTTATACTGTTAAAGGTCTTGCAATAAGCATTCTTATGAGATGTCTATCAAGATATGGTAAGAGGCTTAAAGTTAAACATCTCATCCTTATTTGCCAAGAAATATTGTTTAAGTCATTCATCAGTGTGAAAGTAGTATAGCTTTTTTAGACAAGTGACTACAGCAGGCTATTTTACCAATTTTTTTAAAAAAGCTCAAGCACTTATAATTGTTTAATTATATGGTTGTTCAAGCCACAAACAGCTTCTTTCAGGAATACAAAGTTCAATATACACAGACAGAAAAGTTTTTCATTTTTAGCTGCATAGCTTCTGTTGGCAGAAAGAGCAGCAGTATTTTTCATTTGTCACATGAAATTACCAGTACCGTTCCCCACCATCTCTCTTTCATCTGCTTTTAGACATTCACAGTGTGAAATTTTTAAAGTGCTAACTTCCAAACCCTGCCTAAACAATAAATGTACAAACAGCAGTTTATGTGTGGTGCTGGGTCTCTGCATATGTCTGTACAAATATGTGGAGAAGAATGTCTACTAATACAAACCAACTAATAAGTTGGTTTGAAGATGCAAACAATCAACGATCAACTGATGGGATGGCATTCTCCTTTGAAGGGAGACTACATTATTGTCACTATCACCTGATAGCCCTAAGAAACCTTACAACAGCACTATCCATTTACAAAAGTCACTTTATATGTGTGTGTATGCATGTGTAAAGAAAAATTAGGAGAATGCTAAAATCTAGCCTGTAAATTAGTAAACTACCAGCAAAATAAACCTCAGGCCCTGCAGTGCTAAGGGTCAAGTTGTCAGCAGAATTCAGATCGAGGATTTTTTTTTTTTTTTCCTGGACATGGATCACTGCATATATCAGAAGAACACAAAAGCATGCCTTCCCATGACAAACGCTGAGTAAGTGCAACTGAATTTTTCAAGTGTGGGGGAGGAAACTAAAGTAAGCCTCACAAACTATGTACCTATGTGTATATGTCCTTAGATATCATGAAGGAGATCACAGGGCAGATGTGGGACTCAGAAGCTACATGTCTGCAGATACTGCCTGAGAAAAATATACTTGTACCCTGGGCCCCCTGTCTGAGGGTTCATTAGCTTGCGTTCCCAGATCAAAGATCAGAAACTTCACTCTGACTCCTACCTGCACTCACAACCAGCACAGAAAGAACTGTGTCAGGAAAGCAACCCTGGAGGGATAACAAGGTGCATTCCACTGGTCAGGTGCCAGGATCTGGGCATCTTCAAGAGTCCTCCTGCTGGCCAAATGCCAGAATAACAGCCCTGGTAGTTGTAGAATTGGTCCCAGACTCTGCTGCAGCTGCCAGGGCCTTCATGAGCACCATCTGGGAGTCCTGGGGGAAGAGCTATTTAAAAAATGGTTCTTCCCTCCAGAAGCTGGCTCAGCAACACTGGCTTGTAGTGTACTGAAGTTCTTGCTGTGTTTGATTCCTGTTCCAAGGTAACTTGCTCCTTCATGTTGTCTCCCTGGCTCGTGCCTTCTGGCCTATCTCCTTGTTTCCTGGATGGTGCTACTACGGATTCTTGGTTTGACTTTGGCCTGTCCGATAGTGCAATTTGGAGTTATGACTTGGACTGGTAATTGGATTCTGGCTCTGACCACCTTGCCTTGTTTCCTGGGTCCTAGTGAATCACCTGTTACCCAGCTGCCCATGCCCTGGACCATGGCTCCTCAAACTATGGCCCGGGGCCAGATCTGGCCCGCCTTGGCCATTTATCCAGCCTGCCTCAGAGGTTTTCAATGCGCCGTCTGCGCAGGAGGTGGTGGCTTGCTCGCGAGGAGATAGTTTTAGACTTGCTTGGAGAAAACGATCTCCAAGCGAGCAAGCTGCTGCATCGCACACCAGCCGCTGCATTGCGGCACGTGCCTGCCCCTGCCTCGCCTTGCCTCGCACACCCACCGCTGCGCCAATGCACCCCGCTCCCACTCCCGTGTCGGCCTGCGCTTCCAGCTGGCACCACTTTTCTGGCCAGTGCCCCCAGCTGGCACCACTTTTCTGGCCAGTGCCCCCAGCTGGCACCACTTTTCCGGCCCGCACCCAGCACCGGCACCTTTCAACTGCCCCCTCCGGTGAAAAAGTTTGAGGACCCCTGCCCTGGACCCTTACATCAGGGAGGGGAGGAGCATGTAAAGGCAAGGATACACAAGCTATTCTCAGCTTCTCCACCTCTTTCCTGCCCCTTCCAAAAGTCCAGTTAGTGAAATCTACAGGGAAGCAGGACAGGGAGCTGAAGATTTGTCTTGGCAGTTTTACATAGGATGTCCACAAGCCTTCAAATTTGGGGGCTTATGGGCACCACAAGTATCAAATGTGATACAGGGGGAAATAATTTTGTGAGGGTTTTGTTCAAGTTAAAATCAAAACCCAAATTCACTATGATATATACTTTATGTGACAGTGGAGATGCTTCTGGAACAGAGGCATATCACTTCAAAGGAGAAATCCCACTCTTTTTTCCTAACTATTGATTAACTGACTTCTTTGACAAATCTGGGTGTAATACAGATACACACAGAGAGAAACAAAATGTAGTTTTAAAGGATGATATGAGACAATACCTGCCACCATTTGGAATTTTCAGTTTTATTCCTCAGGAATCATCTCTTTTAACTATCTATTTTCTCTATGTAAGCGAAGTCCAACAATAAAGCCCAGAAATCTTCAATGCTGTATTAAAGAGAGAAATAAAGGAAGGTATCATTAAAATATTGGACTTTGTTATTCTAGCATAAGATGAAGATTGCTTTCTGCCACAATGCTGGGTTAGTTTCTAAGGAAAAGCAATTCATTGCTACCACTTCATTGAAAAACTGGGACAAGCCTCCAGAGAAATGGAAAGTGTTTCACTCATAAGTTTTGGGGGAGGTTTTGCAGAAAACCCTCAGTACAAGTTACTATCTGAATTTACCATTAAAGCAACAAATATCAGAACTCAAGGAGGCATGATAGCCACAACTTTTGCTTGTGCAAGCCCTGAGCTGATGTCCCAAATAACTGGCTGTGATAAGCCAGAGACAGAAAGGTTGTTCTGGAAGGCAGAGAATAAGGGGTTATTTTCCTTCTTTTTCATTTATAAACTGATGCCAGAAAACATAGCCACCTCAAGATATGAGAATGCTATACGGAAACTGAATCCTGGGTCCTATAGGGGAAAATGCAGTTTACAGTGGCTTTGCTAGGCAATCTGGCATATGTTGTCCTCCATTTCATCCCCAGTGCAGCTCCACCCAAGTGCAGCCAAGTCAATACTTGACCCAAGTCAATACAAGCCAATACTGGATTTGTTATGTCCTAGATCTCAGACAGGAAATGACTCTTGAAACAGATTACAAGCCTCCCACGGAAGCTTGAAAGGCAAGATTCATTCAAGCTAAGTCCATACATTTATTACACACATGCAACTAATTGGTAAGCGGTGTCTTTTTTCCTTGATATCAGAGATGGGGCATTTTCACTGCATGACCAAGTGTGCATTACATGGCAGGCAAGGTGTTAAACAGCCCATGAGCTGTTGAGCATGTACAGGTGGTGCGCCTGCTGCTTTCACTTTTACTCATCAATCAACAACTGGCTCCTTTGTAGGTTGCTCAGCCTTTCACTGAACTGCAGAACACTGCCCTCGCCTTCTAGCAGGACAATGACCCTAAATATACAGGCCAAATAACACTGGACTAGTGAAAAAGTCGCCCCGAGGCTTCGGCGAATGGGGCGGCATAAAAATGTTTTAATAAATAAATAAATAAATAAATAAAAAACAAGAAGCTGAATGTCTTAGAAAGGCCCAGTCGAAGTCCAAACCTAAATCTGATTGAAAATCTGGAAAAATGTTGAAGTTGGTGTTCACCAATGGTCCCCATCAAACCCAACAGAGGCTCTAGTTAACTATGGTTTGTTACTTAATCACAGGATTATTTAGCCCACAGGCTGTCAGGTCCTGTGAACCACTAGCAAATGTTCATGAAACAAGAGGTGAAGATGATAACAATATCATAAACACACCACCAGTGAAACTGCAGCCAGCAAAGCCAGTGACAATGCCTCTCCTGATTTAAATTCATTCCAAGCTGAAACATCAAACTGCCATTGTTATGACCTAACGCAGAAAAAGCACTGAAAGAGTAGTTTTCATTGCCAGCTCCTTTTAGGCTTAAAATTGATTTAATAATAGTTCCATCTACACTGAGCATTCCTGAGCTAAGGTGGCTTTTAAAACAATCATTTTAAAAAGTAATTCAAAGCACTTCTGTAACTACTATACAGGTAACAGACCTTCTTAAAGAATCACACCATTAAATGTTTTAAAATTTTCTAGATAATCTGTAACAGTATCAGTTTGCATTACATTTGTGACAACATTGATTGTAAATGGTCTGAAACAGCTGTTGCCCAGCGGCCTAAACTCTATCGCTACATAAACCCAGGGCAAGGACAAAACATAGAACACAAGGAGAGTCTAGCAGATTACTTAATCAACCAAGCCAAAGATTTTCAGAAGAGAAATACTTAGTTAAGTCATTTTGCTCTGATTACTGTTCCTTGCTATATATTTTGGATCACTAAGTTAGGAAGTGAGAGAAGGTGCTTCCTCTTTAAATGTTGAAAAGAATGTGTGTGTCTAGCCATTTCCCATGGGAAAAGTAGTGGGGTACTTTCTAGTACTGTCCAAGTTGCTGAAACACAGAAACAGAGCAAGTCAAAAGGGACCTCCCGGGCCATCCAGTCTGACCCCTGGCTCCAGCTGGCTCTGCTCACGACATGCCCACCATGTCACCAAGGTGACTTTTGCCAGAAATGAGATAAGAGAGTGTGATCCTGTTAGATTTCTAGAACTTGCAATGTGATTCCATTCCTACTCCAGTGGCCGCTTCCAGGTGGTGGTACTGGGATTTTATAGTTCTTTTCCATGTTAATCACTTAACATGACTTCTACATTTTTAAAGAGTTATGAAATTAGCAGTCACCTTGGTGCATAATAGCTTCCATCTACTAGTTCCATATTCATGATGACTCTTGCAGATTTTGAAAACCCACAGCATTGTATTAAAAGGGAATCATGACCTACCCTTGTTCTTCTATACAGCCAGTGGAAGTGGTCACTTCCAAATTTACATAATGGCAAACACATATGATGCAGTTGTCAGCCATAGCTAATCCCACCTTCTTCCTTCTTATTTGTCATATATACGCCACTATGTTATTATTTGAAAATGACAGTGGGTGGAATGACCCACTGCATTGCATTGTTTTCATTGCTGTTTGAGAATATATTTAAGAGTTCTACCCTCAATAAATGCCTTGAGATACAAAATGATCACTTTGCCTAAAATGGACATTTAAATATTGTATATTATTACTAACCTATATTGTCTCCAGTGATTTGGGGGCTAGGGAATTTTCTACTCCACATTTTCCAGTCATTAGTTTTTCTGTGGAAAATTTTCCATTTCATGTGTTCATTAATGGAAAAAATGCATCTCAATTACAAATGCAATATAAGGCAAGCCAGGCAGTTTCAAAGGTGTAATTAATGCTTTTCAGGTGATTATCCATAGCAAGTTCAAGCAAATCAAGATACTTCATGGAAATGCCCCAGAGTGAAATGGATCTAATAAACAGGGATAATAATGTCAATATTTGACACACAGTCCTTCATGTGTCAACTGCTTTTGACTACCTCTGTTTTCTTATCCAAAATTGCCACTTTGCTTGTGCTATTGGAATAATGAAAGAGAGAGCATAATGCCAACAGGGTATGCTGCAGCAATGGGCCCCGTTACAAGTTTTCCAATTCTGAAAATCTAATTTCACCCTTCAAATGTTCCAGGTTAAATATATGTGGCACATTAGGTGAAAAAATTAACACGGAGTATTGTTTGCTAAATACAAGCAAATCAAGCATGCTAAATTAAATCTCTCTAGGGCAGGAATGGACAAACTGCAATCCTCCACTTGCTTTGGCTTACAACTCCCATCAGCCCAGCATAGCCAATAGGGAGGATGATGGGAGTTGTAGGCTTTAACACTTGGAGGGTCCAATGTTCCCTCTGCCAAAACAGCATCCCTTTGCAGCATCAAAATATGCATTGATGGATATTTATATGTCTCCAATGCAAATGACCCTGGTGAAAGTATGCGCCTTCTTATTGTTTCCCCTGAAGGTATTATGAGACCTTATTTCCTAACCTGTGAAAAATCATCCTACACAACAAAATGCAGGACACAATTATTTGGCCTAGAGGAATGAAAGGAGAATTTCCAAAAGGGAAATAGCCAGGACAGGTGAAGGAATTTGCCTTAGGCATAATTTAAAAGTTGTAAACAACCAAAGTGCTTTCATAATCACCACCTGCCCTGGAGGCCTACATTGCTTCCCCACTGCAACAGGTATCAAGATGTGCCTGACCCAGCAGCTGTGCTGAATTGCATAAATAATCTCTGTGTTGGGAAACTTTGGAGAATGCATTTGCATTCCATGCTTTCTGCATTCAGCAGCAACAACAGAATTGCCAAGGAGTCAATGGAATGCCTCTCACATACCTGGATGAGGTTTGGATTTTTCTTCAAGTCCTTCCCACCCATTGCAGTTGATACATAAATACTACAATTATTTTTCAGAATGTCTATGTCAGACTTTCCTAAACCAATGCCCTGCAGGTATGTTAACTACAATGCCCATCACCCCCAGTTTGGCCATTGGCTATGCTGGGAAAGAGATTGGGGAAGGATTACAGAAGTGAATTATTTGACTTTTAGGCACACTAGACCTAACAATGATCGAACTAGCAACAAATATGATTATCATCTCCCACTGCCTGATCCATTTTGTATATTCATTCTTTTGTTGCTTCTTTCGGAGTATTATACTCCTGCACTTAACTACTCCTGCAGGAAGCACAGGTGCTTCTCTGCATGTTAGCAAGCCCTTTGCCTCCGGATGGGATGTCTGAGATGGTTATTAAAAAGTCATTTGTGGGAATGTTGCACGGTAGTTATAATGTGCCTGTGGCAGCAGTTGTGCCCCAAAAGCCTTGAATCTATAAATTTAGAACATGTTGCTCAGTGTAATTGAGTGGAGGAGGATTCATTCCATTGTTCAAAACAGAGTTGCCCTTGTAGCACTGAGCATCAGCCTTTGGCTTTCTGCCTGCCTTCAAATCAAAACTGTAGAAATAAATTGCTATTCACAGCTTGCCAGTAACTCTGACACAGTTATGCACATTAGTACACTTGAAAGCTGAATCTCAGGCCATCAACATGACATATTTCAAAACTCCTTATATATGCCTTAACATGTGACATCTTCCTGGAAGGGAAGGGTGTGTGGTTAAGTAGCTAATCAGCCACTTTGAGGCCTTGTGAAAGGTCAAGTGGTGGGCCAGAAGTACAAGAATGGTACATGATATCAGAACCATACAAGCCACCTGCACCCAACCTACACACTGATCTGCAGGTAATCCACAAATAACAGTGAAGACTAATTACAGCAGCAGAGTCAACACTTAATTCTTCGGACATTTCAGGGTTGGATCCAGGAACACACTCAAATTGCAAATCTGAGACTTCAAGGAGTGTACAACCCCATCCAGCTCCTTTATCTTGTCCAGAACAAGCTTCAACCCCTTCCTTTACCCACTCCATTAATACTTGAGAACCTGACCAGTTTTCTT